TGAGGTCAAGGTAAGATGATACCTTCCAGACAGACATGTACACCTTACAATCATTCCATACACCAAATATAGTTGACCTATTGCTTATAGTACTTGAAAAACAGACCAAAACACAAAAAAAAACTTAACATTGACCAATGAACCATGAAAATGAGGTCAAGGTCTGATGAAACCTGCCAGACTGACATGTACCCATTACAATCATTCCATACACCAAATATAGTTGATCTACTGCTTATAGTATTTGAGAAACGGACCTAATCACAATCACGTAACTTTAACCTTGATCACTGATCCATTAAATGAGGTCGTGGTCAGGTTAACTCTGTCTGACAGACATGTAGATGTTGCAAGGAACCCATATACCAAATATAGTTATCCTATTACTCATAATAAGTGAGAAATTCACATGACAAAAAAACTCAATTTTTAATGGACATATGATTGACGGAAACTTCGTAACATAAGGTAACTGCATACTAGATATGAAGCATCCAGGTCTTCTACCTTCTGAAATATAAAGCTTTATACAAATAGTTTACGCCGCTGCCGAATGGTAATACCTATGTCTCGCATACTGCGACTTTGGTCGCAGGCGAGACAAAAACCATACAAAAAGTACATACACAGATTCTCAGAAACCATCTCACATATCAAAACCACATCATGCAGAATGCACCTAATGTGTTCCTCTACTAATTTTGAGTTTTTGCTGCTATCCAAAAGCACAGTTGTTGAACATATTTTTACAAAATCATTTGGTAATCCATACAAATATTGTCTTCTCTCTATGACAGTCTCCAACAATAAAACCAAATATTGAATAAAAATCACTGCTTAATTTGAGTGTTTGGTGCTGGTCTGATATTCAGATGGCTGTCACTGTAGAACACAGTTTAACAGAGAACCCTATAAAAACCCATAAAAAAACTTTCAAACATACTAACATACTGTTGACACTGATCTGTGTCCACACTTATTGATGTTTATTTTTTTTTAACCTTATAATGTATCTGTTAACTGCTAAAAAAAGGCCATTTATGTACAACTAAAATAACGAAGTCCAATTTGTAAGCCGGCATGACGTTAAAAGATGAATCAAAGAATTAAATTTTATATATAACTAATAAAGAACAATGGTGCTGATTAAAAATTACACCATTCAAGGCCCTATATTTCCAAATAATTAATATAACCAATAATACTAGTAAACAAGTTCTGGGTCAAATCCCATACCTATACCAATAGTATATGTCACATGTAGTTTCCGGTTGTAGTAACCAAACTAGAACAGGTTCAAACAGAAAGATTTTGAAAGCAGAGAAAACTGTGAACCTTATAATCAGCATGACTTTATCAGATGACAATACGAATACTAAAAATCCAGGCTAAAAATAAGGCATAGGTACTTTCCGATTTGTTAGCCAGCATGACGTAAAAACGACAAATCAAAGAATTCAAATTTATATATAACTAATATAGGACAATGATGTTAATTCTAAAATTTCACCATTTTAAGGCCCTTTTGTTTTCAACATAATTAATATTACAAATAATTAACAAGTTCCAGATCGACAGGTTCAAACAGAAAGATTTTGAAAGCAGAGAAAATTGTGCACATTATAATCAGCATTACTTTATCAGATGACAATACAAATACTTGAAATCCAGGCTAAATATAAGGCAGAGGTACTTTAATTCAGTCACGGACCCGAGATGTCAGTGTGTTCTAGTATTTATAAAGGATAAGGAGTAAATACATCAACATAAGCTTGAAACTTAAAGACACTTAACACCAAAAAAACATCAAGAGTTCAACATAGTTTTCAACAATAGACAAGTGATTATACAATGTCCATTTTTAATTGTTTATATATCAGCTATCAATATCAAAATAAGAAAATGTGGTAGGGTTGCCTATGAGACAACTCTCCACCAGAAACTGAATGACATAGTAATAAGCAACAATAGGTCACTGTATGGCTTTCAACAATGAGCATACCGCATAACAAGCTATAAAAGGCCCTGAAATGACAAATGTAATATAATTTATGTCCAAAACAATAAACAAAAAACAAATATGATATACAGAAACAAATAACAACCACTAAATTACAGGCTCCTCAAACTTGGGACAGGAATATAAAGAAGTTGCAAGATTTAACTTGTTTGCATGCGCCCAACCCTCACCTATCCTGGGACTACGGTGTAACAGCACAACATAAGAACAAACTATAAAAAACAGTTGAAAAGGGCTTAAATCACAGACTGATATAAATCACAAAAACAACTAACAAAAAAAACCAAAATACTCAGATCTGAGAGTATTCGCAGTTACTGAAAGCTAGTTCAAAGCCAATAACAACTTATAAACTAGATGTGTATGAACAACACGAATGACCCCGCTCACAACAAAAGTGAGAATGAAAGTCCATATAACTGTTATTTTCACGAAATTTTCAAAGTCCAAAGCCTGTAATTTCGGCACATAAAAGTGGAGCAGAACTAGACATATACTCGATCTGTAACTCATCATACTAGACTCACATACTAATAAAGAGCTGCGCCATGAGCGCATGATACGCCCGTCGCTTTTTCAAAGAATATAGTACCATAACTCCTCAATGTCATATCAGAAATTTATAAAAAACTAAAGGGAGGTTATTGTTATAGATATAAACCAGTCACCAAAGTTTAATGAAAACTGCTCAAAGCACTTTTGAGTTATTGTCTGAAAACTGGAAAATCCCCCTTTTTTAATGAATAAAACCCCATAACTCAGAAACATAAAATCTAAAATTTATAAAAATTGAAAGGGAGCTCACGTCAATAGATATAAACAATTCACCAAAGTTTCATGAAAACTGCTTAAAGCATTTTTGAGTTATTGTCTGAAAACTTTAAAATCCCCCTTTTTTAATGAATAAACCCCATAACTCGAAAACGTAAAATCTAAAATTCATAAAAATCGAAAGGGAGCTCACGTTAATTGATATAAACAATTTACCAAAGTTTCATGAAAACTGCTCAAGCATTTTTGAGTTATAGTCCGATAACTGGAAAATCCCCCTTTTTCATTGAATAAAACCCCATAACTCGGAAACGTAAAATCTAAATTTCAAAAAAATCGAAAGGGAGCTCACGTCAATAGATATAAACAGTTCACCAAAGTTTCATCAAAACTGCTCAAAGCGTTTTTGAGTTATTGTCCGACATGTTGACGACGGCAGACAAACACTGGTATACCATAATACGTCCCGTAAACAGCCCTATAAAATCAGCTCAATATGTGAAGGTGTTTAGAAAAACTGTTATTTTCATAAAATTTTCAGTCCAAATGGCCTGTAATTTCAGCAAAAATCAATGGACCTGAACTAAACGTAAACTCAATCTGTAACTCATCATAGTAGACACACATACTAAAAGCCAGCTCAATATGTGAAGTGCTTAGAAAAAAAGTCCTTATAACTGTTATTTTCACAAAATTTTCAAAGTCCAAAGCCCGTTCTTTAGGCAAAAATCAGCAGAGCGGTACCAAACCTAATCTAGATCTGCAAATCATCATAGTAGACTCACATACTAAAACTCAGCTCAATATTTGAAGGTGTTAAGAAAAAAAGTCTGTATAACTGTTCGTTGCGGAATGATGGAACTTTGTTGTGGGGCCATAAAAATCATATATCAAAGACTAAACCAGCTCATTAAGTGCAAGGATGGCAATGGAGAGACACAACTATCAGTCTCATGAAATGAGTCTAAAAACTAAAATAAGGACAAACAATATATGTCAGTTGAAACCAACTTCTAACTAGCTAACTTTCTGTACAAGACATTCCCAACTCATTTACTAAGTATAACTGAATAATATGTTGAAATATTATAGTTCCAGGACGTCCTCAAATATATATCAGGGTTCAATGAACTTTAACAGTGAAGCATGATTTTCCATCCAAAATTACAAGTGAAACCATCCAGAGTTAGAACCAAAGACCCATAGCAAAATTGGCTATAAAACATGATTATGCCAATTTGGCCAGGTGTCACATGGACATGCAAAACCAGAATTTTTGTGAAATATAACTGAAATTGGGGCAAGGCAAATGAGATAATGGATAGTATTTTGATAAAAAAAACATAAGAACATTTTTTTTGTCTAACTTTTCTTTTGCAGCTCCTTATATATGCCATATAGTTAGAAACCAGAGAAGGGTAAAAAGAAATACATGTATGTCTATTCTATCATTAAAACATAAAAAAATTTCTATCATAACTAGTAATGTAACTATTTCATTACACAAAATATGTAGATTAGACCTATATATGGAAGAAATTATTATTTTTCAAGTAGAACTCTCGTTTCAATAAAAGGTTCTATTGCATACCAAGAGTGGAATAAGATATAGAACAAACACAATAAAATTACCAAAGTCAAGTTTGGGTGACATAGACATGGAACTTAACTACAAATATCCTAAAATTCTGCAATTTTTTTTAAATGAGAAGAGCAGAAAAATATACGTATTCTACATTGTATATATTTATATATATTCTGAATAATGCTTTATTATCTCAACAGCACAGAACCTAAAATATAGGATAGGGGTCAATTGATAAATTCCCTACAAAATCACAGAGTGATAGAGAGACCATTTTGTTACTTTTTAAAAATATTTGTGAGAAATACAAGATTAAAGAAGGAATCACATTGATAATGATAAAAAAGGAATTGGTGTCAAAAAGTCCTGTTATGGTATTTTAACTTGCTGGCCTCGTCAATCATATGTATTGTACAAGAGACAAGATTATTCACAACTGTTTGGGGCAACTCAATATTACTATGGTATTCATTTAATAATTAGAGATAGATAGGACCTACAAAAGTATAAAAAGCAAGATAATATCATGCAGTCTATTCATGCAAGTATTTATATGAAACTGCAATCATGCAAAATATGTTAATCTTTTCAAGTATATTAAGTTGTTTAGAGGAGGATCTTTACTTGGAATTTCTTTGAACTGATCTCATTTTGATAATTTCGTCTCACATCGTTTGCTTTATGATAAGCCTAAAAAAAACAAGTGCATGGAAAAACAAGAACAGAAATATCATAAATCAGTTGATTCTACATCTTTATATAATGATAAAAAGAAACAAGGCTATATGTATCCTTATGGTGTTACTACTCACACTTTCACCCCAAACCAAACTGCATACTTCCAGAATGCTTGTCATAAGTCTGCTCGCAGCATAGATGCTGTAAGCAAACGTCACAATTTTATGATTGCAAGATGCTTGCAGCACTTTCTGCAAGCAAACTGTATGCATACAAGACTACATTATGTTCATCACAAACTTGCGGCAAGAATGCTGCAAACAAAACTTTAAAATTTTCGATTGCAAGATGCTCATAGCAAACTAGTAGATGATTATGTAAATTTCTGCATGCATGCGCAAGTTAACAAGCATGTTGCAAACAAAACTATAAATTTTTTATTGCAATATGCTTGCTGCAAGCTACCCTAGAAGTTGATTATATAACTGTACAAGCAAACTGCAAGCAAGTCAATGATTGCAGAAAGGTAGTACAGGGACTATATATTTTGATTGATATGAACTTTAGTGATGTCATTTATGACATCATCAGTGTTTTGACAGCCATATTTGATCATGTTTGGGAAGGATAGCAAGCAGAATATGAAGCTCTTTTTGGTTTCACTTAAAAATACAGGTACCGGTATGCTTATGATAAAAAAAACACCATAGTTCATTAGACAATAATGCATCAAATGGATATATTGTAGATTTACTGCCAGCAAAAAGATCAGTATATATACAATGCTGAGCCTGTTAAATCTGTTACCATGTGATTGATCTCTGTATTAAAGTCAACCTTTGCTTAATATGGTCTTCACCACACAGCTTTAATATGAGAATATATATTTGGAATATGTAACAAATCAACAACTATATCCTTACATCATTTGTTTGTGTCCAATACTTGTCAAATAATGTTTTTGTAGACAAAAACAAGGACAAAGTGGGATAGGCCAGCTAGTAGCTTTTACCAGTAATTTTTTATCCTGTAGCATCACTACTTATAAGGTGCACTTTCAGCTGGCATATCATCCAATAATTCTATGATATATATGAACATATATATAAGGGGGGGAGGGGGGAGGGGGGATGCTGAAAGTTCTTAATAACAAAAATTGTTTAATAAGTGAAGTGAAAAAAATACTTTGTTTTTTGGGTTTCTTTTAGAAATAAATGGGGAATGTGTCCATGGGACACACTAGATGATGCCCCCGCTCGCATATAACGTTATAAAGGGATATAACTCAAGAACTGTAAAAGTGACACTACCCAAATTTGTACTTGATCTGAGTTTTGTGGTAATACGCGTTGGTCTTAAGTTTCATAACATTTGGTTGAGGCAAACTAAAGTTAGAGAATGGAAACAAAAAATTCAGCAATTTTTCCATTTGTAAAGGGGGCATAACTCTAGAACGGTAAAAGTGACACAACCAAATTTCAAACTTGATCTGTGTTTTGTGGTAATAAGCATTGTGTATAAGTTTCCTAACATTTGGTTGAGGCAAACTAAAGTTAGAGAACGGAAACCAATTTTGGTACGTACGTACAGACTTACAGACGAACAAGGGTAAAACTTAATGCCACCTCGGCGGGGGCATAAAAAACCATGCTCTCTCATCACAAAAAAGATGAATGGTCAGTAGCTACCCTTTTTCAGAGAAATAGAAATTTTGGGTACACAACAACTCAAACCTTTGCCAGAGCTCCAGATAAGCTGCGTATTTGCGTGATCACGCAATACAAATGATTAAAAACCCAATGCAATTGCCCATTGCAGGGTTCAATAACCCAATTAATTCAAAGGAAAACCCAATTATATGCCAAAACCATGAGTTCTTAACGCTTTTATTCGCTATCGTTTGCGTTATTTACCCTTATCTTATTACAATCGTCGCGTAAATCTATTTTTATAATATTTATAATTGGAAATTTCCTTTCGTTCTAAAAATAGAGCCCTGCATCAAGTAGCTGAAATGGGTCCCTGTTGGAATTTTCCGTTGCTCGAAAGGTACACGTGTTTAAGAAAACATTTCGATCTTCTCGGAGTTTATCCAATTAGCGTTTGTCATGTTTTCATATTTTTTTCGAATTGCTCGGGACTTATCGTAACATACAATGAATTAAAACGAAAGTAAATGGCCGGTAAAAATATTGAATAGAAGCATGTTTTTAGCTTCTTTTTGATAGCTGAGGACAAGTTATGATGATAACAAGACTCATCTAGTGTTTTATGAAGCGTCCGTCGAACGCACGGGCATGTTTGCGTACCTTAACGAGAACATTGCTAGAACGATAAACACGGGGTTTCTTCAAGAACGAAATCAGTTGGAAAAAGTGAAAGGCCAAATTAATTATGACATGATATGTAGTTGGAAAGCATCGGAAACCAAAAGTTCTAATAAGGGGCAACTTAACCCAGATTTATGTTAGTTAAATTAAACAAAAACATTCAGGTATTATTTTAGTTTATATATTGTTTTTTTCATTTTTAGTTGATGAGTGAATACACATATCCGTTTTTTACGTCAATGCAGCTTGACACTTTCTTTATTTTGGTCTAATTGTTCTGTATGCTTAAGATAGCTGTCTTATTGGCAAGTGTTATTTATTTATTTAATGTTGCAGAATTATTTGTATATTGAAGTTGAATGTGGTGTCCGTAATTAAACCACCCTTTAAACCTGGTCAAGGTTTTGGGGTATATCTTAAATCTGGGAACTACTTATTATTTTTATTAAAAAGTAGATCTGGCAAATAGGTGAAAGGACTGGCAAAACTTTCTTACAGCACCTAAATTTCACATAAATTACATAAAAATCTTAACACTAAGCCACACCCACCCCAAATAAACTGTAGGATATCATATGGGATCTAGAAAGGTAATTAGTTACTGTCCAACTATTGATACCAGCTGCAGTTTATATAAGTTGCGAGAAAATACAAAACTGGCAGAACGTTTAAAACGGGACACAAATCAAACGTACAATTGCTCGTCAGTGAATAAACCAAACAAAACAGCTAGCACATATACAAAGATAGAAACATATTAAAGATGGAAAAACATCTTGGGTTGATATAATGTGATTATAACATGCCTAAATATTCAATATTGTGTTGATGAAAAAACCCAATACATTAAGGAGCTTGGTGGTGAAAAACCCAATTTGATATTTGCTTGAGGGGTGAATCGGAATTGATAATGCAATTAAAAAACTCTATCACCCAATTACATAAAAAAATGATGGGTAAAAACCCCAATTTGTGAATTCTTATCTGGAGCTCTGTTTGCCAACTCGTACTCATCCAACTTGTACTTTAACCAACTCATACACATTTAAGTAGTAGTGTTATGTATCATTAAAATAGATAAATCGTCTAAACTAAATGGTAATTTTGTATTACATAATTGAACTTGTCCGAGATAGTATGGAGAATGCAGCATAAATCTCTTTGATTTGTTAAGTAACAAATTCATCAGTTTTCTCCCTTGTTGGAAAATGAGGAAACACGGTATACTAACTCATCCTCAGCTGGAAATCTGAATTTTTAATAATTGATTTTTCAACTGATTTTTTTGATGGGTGTGTGTTGAAGAATTTTTTTTTATCTCTGAGAACTTCACCATTTTTTTTATGTCATAAAGCTTCCACACGAATTAAACAAATCAAAATGTTTATATATATGTAACACTCTCAAACGTGTCCATTTCGCCCAATCGGTTTCACGAAATCATATCTCGCCCAAACATGTCAGATTTCTTTTCCCGCAAACATATCCGATTATTTACTTTGCTCAAACTCGGCCGACAAATTAATATCCGCTGAAACTTTAAAGCATCAGAACCTCTAAAAACTTTTAGAGCTAATATGTTGTCTGTGATTCAAGGAATGTTTATGGTAAACTCAATCAATGGATATGTCCAAATGGGGGAAAAATATTATTGAATAAACAGCTATCCAAGTTGTCAATACAGATGTATTTTTGGCACAATTCCCGAAGATAAAAATATGGAGTTAAAAGAAGTAAAATCCAAAATGGAGACTTCGTAAAATTGCAGAGAAGGTCAGAGGTCCAAAAAGTGAACTGAAGCTGTTTTAAATATGCAAATCTATTCAAATTTAATAAACAAACAAAACAATAATCAATATTTGTGGTTAGATCCAAGCTGTGGAAAAACTTACTTGATATACTGACTGAGATAAAAAAAGAAAAAAAAAAAAATGGAAAAATTACAATTAAGGAAGAACATATAATAACCTAATCAAGAATTTTCTTTCTGTGCACTTTGAGTCTAAGGTCACTGTGATAACCTGACTGGATTTCGTTTCAAACAACATTTGTGATAACAAAACACTTTTTAGTTTAAATGGAAACATTTGAGCGTTTTTAAAATATGGACATGGTGCATTCATGAAAAGGACATGTTTTGGTGTGCTTCATGAACTAGACATGTTTTGGAGTTAAGTGATGTCATATGGACACTTCTGAGTGTTACATATATATATTGGATACTTAGTAGATTATAAGAACACTACATTAATGCATTTTACCTTCTGAGTTTTGTAAAAATGTAAAACTTTAAAGTCATAATTTTTGCTTTTTGGCGAAAATGGTGATTTTAAAAGTATACCCCAATAAACAGACTTTGAAATTCAAAGTGCTGCTTTTAATACGAAATTTAGGCTTTTTAACCTCTCTATGTTTTTTTTAATCTACCCCAATCTAATCAGTTTGCAGGTCTTTTATCCCCTTATGATCACTTATTAGTATATTTTATAATCAACATAAATATAATTTTTTTTGAAATTTAATATGATTGAAAATAACTGTTTTATTCAAAATTGCATATGAATTTTTTCGCAGGTGTGAAAGTTACCGATTTAGTGGCAACAAAGCATACGAAAAATTTTGGCGGTTTTTATTTTGGCAGATTCCTAATTCCCAATTAAACATTTTGGCGGATACTGAAATGTTGGCAGTTATTTATTTTCATGTGGACCCTTCAACTAAAATGGCTGCATTTTCACCTCAAAATTTACTCTGAGTACAGACAAACCTGAGTATCTGGAAAAATTTTAAAGCATAGCATACTCTAGATAAATAAAATTCAAATACATTTTCTCTTTCAAAAAATTAAAAAACTTAACTGGATTTTGCAGTGCACTTTTTTTCATTTCTCCAGAAGGTGCCAAAATAAACAAAGCTAGGAAAGAGGTTTGAGAACTTCCCCACAGGTAATAATTGAAGTGAACTGTATTGATTGAATTGGACAAAAGAGGGACAATAGATACCTGACAATAATTGGTGATTTAAACTATGTACCTGAGTGGTATCAAGTGAAACTCAACTGTTTATTAATTTTATCATCTTCTGCAGGGACGAAAAAAAGTGCACAGCAATATCCAGTTAAGTTTTTAATTTTCTAAAACATAAAATGCATTTGAATTTTATTTATCTAGGGCATGCTATGCCTTAAAACTTTTCCAGATGCACAGATTAGTCTGTACTCAGAGTAAATTTTGAGGTAAAAAAGCAGCCATTTTAACCAAAGGGTCCACATGAACCTTAAAAACAAAAGTCACTTAACTTAAACAAGTGTCCATTTTTTTCCCTGAATGACGTCTTATTTTTTCATTATATACAGTTAATCAATAGAATATTTGTCACAGATGAACAAACTTTTTGTAAATGTAACAGTTGAATAGTTACAAAATTGACTGGACTTTGGATGTACTAATTAGGTTATAAAATTATCAAGAGTGGCTTACAACTCTTATATAATTTAAAAGGGTAAAATACCTGACAGAGTACCTTACACTCTTAAATGATTGACACAGGAAAAACAAATAGATCGATCACAAAAATCTTCAGCAATTAGAAAGTACCAAACGTATGCATAAATTTTTCGCAATTTCATTTATCTGCCAAAATAAGCGAAAATAAAATAACCCGATATAAGGTAATATATGAAAATTGGGTACGAGTTGGTAAAAGTATGAGTTGACATGATCCCTATAATCCAAAAACTTGCAGGATGATAAGCTTGTAAAATTCATGCATAGTAATTTGACACACCCAACGTGATTATTCTGTAAGGTGAATTAATAAGCTGAAATTTTTCTAGTTAATTTTTTTGTTTAATTTTCTTTTTTAGTAATGATTCAGGTCAATTTTGAAGACTCATGAAAATCTCATTATTAGGATTAACAAGTATGCACACACTGTAGTGCTAAGCATACCACAAATCATAATTCAAAGTATTGGCAAACAGGAAGTACTGGTGTCTAACAATTCCAGAAAAGCACTCATTACTGTTGAGCTGCTGACCAAATACGAAGTCCTTCTGTTCCGTAGTATTTGAAAAAAGTGTGACAAAAAAATAAATTCTTATTCAACATATTGAAAAATTCAAAGTAATCGACAAACAGAAAATGTTGATTTATTGTTTACTGTACTCTGCATCAGTGCAAATAGACTATATCGCAACACATACTATTATAGTAATAATAGAAAATAGGTGTCTGACAGATCTGAAAAATGCTTATACATTACAACTCATCACAATCAATCTGCTAAACAAATCAGAAGTCATTCTGTTTGTTAGTTCCTGAGAATAATGTCAAAAAATGTGATTGTAATAATTAGCTCCACTCTTAAGAGTGGCAATATTATTTTTATTAAAGTTGAATTTTACCCGTCTGGTATAATTTTTTGTTAAATATAAAATGAATATGAACTTTTATATCTTGAGTCTAAAAAGTTGTGCAAAGATACTGATAAATAATAATTATGTAAAAATAAGATTAAATAATATCATGAGAAATATTTCAGCAAAAAATGGCTTTAATCAGTGTCAATCTGTTTTCAAAATGCATTTATACAGTATGAAAATCTGCTGAAACTGACGAAGGCCATATGTACTAAAAAATTTGTCATTACGATATTATTTCATGTTATTCGTACATAATTATTAGTATTGTTACACAAGTCTTTTCCTTTTTGTGTGGTATCATAATATTAAGACGATAAGATACCTATTAAATTCACTGGTTTGTTGTTTTCTGAATACTCTTAAATAACAAATATTTCTATGTATATACCTTTGATTCCTGATCTAATCTCCATTCCAAATCTCTCAGTTGACTTGACAACATTTGTTTTTCTTTTTCCAACATTCTTATCATATGTGGATTTGCCTGCAAATTATAAAAAGATGTAACTTAATTATTTTCAACATAATTATTCACAACACTATTTAAATTATGTATTCTTTTATCAATATATATGACTTTTGTCTCAGTATTTTATTGAGAAGTTTTAACTTTTCTGTAAAAAAAAATAGCTAAATAAATATCTGGTTCAGTACATTCTGGGGTTAAATAATGTGCAAGCCCAGTTAGAGAATGAGTCAAAAGGAGTAAGTTCACAAAGGGTTGAAATTAGCCCTTATATTTTGATGTTTTTTTAATCAGGCCAAAATACTACAAATATCATTTAGAAATAGTTGTGATATTACTATTAATACAAAATAACTTCTTTTTGGCACATCACAATATAAATGAGGAAAAAATGACCCCTAAATTATGCATTATTTGTGTTGAAATGTCAGTTTTGGTCAAATTTTCTATAATTGTTAACAGTTTTTAGCAAAATAAACTTTGGTCGCCACCCCTGATCCAGAAAATGTTTGTTTCTAGGGATTCAATATCATCATTGACAACTCTTGGTTACAAAACATTTTGGAATGTGGGTTGCTGCCAAGGCTTTCCTCAAGCTTTTAAGTATGAAAAATGTACAAAATCATCATATTTGACAATATATCCAAAATGTGCTGACTTAGAAGCCTAGAATGTACTCTTATGAAGAGATATGTTTAACCTAGTGGTAAGGCTTTTGAAATAGACCCATTTAAGAACCAAATTATGGCTATTGTGACATTTTATGATAAAGTTGAAATTCAAGGCCATATTTGGTCTAAAGTGAACCTTGTCCTTTAGCACTCTGGAGGAATTCAAAGTCAAAACAGAAACTTAAAAATTAATAGGAACCTTGAATGTTGCATCAAGATTTTTAGAAATCTGTTATAAGAATAAGAAGATGTTGTATGATTATTAACAAAATATTATTGCCAATAAGACTGCTTTTCATCAGAGACCAAATGACATAGAAATTAGCAACTATATGCCATTTTACAAACTTCAACAATGAGCAAAACCCATACAGCATACCAAACTATATAAAATCCTGGCTTAAGGTATGTAAATCATTCTTGAATGAAATACTTACATCAGATAAATCATCAAATCTATTCATATCTCGTGGTGTTTTACCTGCTACAAAACAAAAACTTAATCATTAATTTTCAAACACCTATAAAAAATTTCATCAATTCTATCATATATATTTTTATATATATATATATATATATATATAATATGCATTATACAATTCAAATTCTTAGTGTTTTGTTCAGTTAACTTACTTTTTATTTCAAAAATTTGTTCACAAAAGCTGCTACTTTCAGAACAACAGATAAAGGAATTTCAATGATTAACAGAATATAACGTTGGAAAAATTTGCAAGGACACATTTAAATAAATACATTCATCTGAATCCGGATAAAGAACTTTCAGTGGTATTTGAAAATTTGTGGATATTAAGACATAATAAAAATATGGTGAATACCTGAAATCTTGAAATCATAACTATTTATAAATAATAACCTGTTGGCACAAGGATATGTCTCGCCTGTCCGCATAAAATTCAGAAAAAGACAATCTGATGGACAGCAACATTGCTTATTAATTCAAAGTCGCTGGACCATGATCTTGTGGGCAGGGTCTAGAAATGGTCTACAAACTGAGATGTACTGATAGTAATGCAACTTTATACAAAATATCATTGATCAAACTGACTTAAGCAGAAAACTTAACATTTGAAAATTGATAATTCAAAGTCACTGGATCATGACCTAGGGGGCAAGGCCTCAAAATAGTCGTCAAACAGATATGTACTGATAGTAATGCAACTTCATATAAAATACCATTGATCTATCACAAGTAGATCCTATCAAACTACCGCCTCGGTGGTCTCCTGGTAGCGTGTTTGTCTCAATTGCCGGAGGTCATGGATTCGAACCTCGGCCGGGTCTAACCAAAGACTTTAAAATAGGTATTTGCTGCTTCTCCGCCAAGCATGCAGCTTTAAGGAGTAAGAGCAAAGACTGGTTGGCTCAGAGTCAGAATAATGTGTCCGGGTAAGGTGACATGTCTTCCTGCGGACTGTTTCCTTGTGAGCTAGCATGTTAAATATCCGGCTCAGCGTGTCGGTTTAGTACAAAGCAGGGTAAATATTCATATAATGTTAACATGTTCTCGTCCTGAATATGCATATTAATTTGCCGCTGGATGTTAAGCAGCCATCCATCATCACTAAATAGTCGTCAAACTGATATGTACTGATAGTAATGCAACTTTATATTAAATATCAATGATCTATCACAAGTAGTTCCTATCAAACTAACTTAAGCAGAAAACTTAACTATTGTTGACACCCCTGCTGCAGCCGTCGCTAGAAAAACAATCCCTATGTCTCTCTTTCCGTGATTTTCGTCACAGGCAAGACAATAAAGAGATGAACAATACAGGTCCACCAAATTACATAGGAGATAAAAAAAAAAAAGACCCTTTTATTCTGCTAATGTTACTGTCTTCATGTTTTATTTCATCTCCATTTATTCTCTCTGTCTCCCATTTCATCCATCCCTCTTTTATTACTGAGCTCAAATATATCATAAGAATGATTCAACACTTTTTCACAAGTTTAACCTAAAAAATTTCAGTATTTTGAAGAATATTTTTATTATAAGGTCTCAGACAAAATATATATTGGCACTGGCTACTAAGGGCTGATGGTATCACATTTTCAATATTTTCCCGCATATTTACGATTAAACAGAGCAATAATGTTAACTTTACTTTTTTATATACTTAATTGAAGTTAATTTCATCTAACCAATTCAGAGTGAAAAAAAATGTTTCTCATACAGCTCTCTAACTATCAACAAGCACATCTTTTAATTTCATATGAAAAAACCATTTAGGTTAAAAAATGAAACAAAAATCAATTGGTTAATTGGCAAAACAAACTTTCTTGGTTAAGTAATGCTTCATGCATTTCCTCTCACATGTATTACAACTATTGTAAAATTAGAGAATGCTCTCATATCAATAATATAACTCACTGAAATGTAGGTCACTTAGTATTTGAGAACTCACATGGAAAATAAAACTTTATAAAAGTCAATGAAGAATACAATATATGTTAGAATCACTTATTTCTATGGAGAACTGTATGCTCCCCTAGTATCCTTAGTCCTTAGACCAAGATATACGATTGTAGGTCAGTTGTTATCTGAGAATGAATGATTTACAACTTTATGTGTCAATGAAGCACACAATATATATATGTCAGAGTGATATACTTCTTAAATTAACACTATTATATTCCTTTACATGCATCTTTATATCATATATTATTATTGTTCACTTAATAGCAGCTTTAAGAGAACTCCAACATAAATTGTAATAACATAAATTGGGATATTTTGGCTGTGGTCATACTTTATTTGGTGCCTTAGTTTTAAAGCACCAAAAGGAAAAACCAAATAAACATTCATCAAAATAAGTAAATGCAAGATTATTCTTAGTCAACTTCTGATATCTTTTTTAAATTTACAAAAATGAACAGCTTATTCATTAGAGTATAAAACTTTAATGAAAGTTAAAAGCATTCACTATGTCTCATCTATCCTTTTTCTAGTTTGTAGTATTGGTCTCACATTCTATCACATGTGTTTGTGCTTTTGATTTTGCCATTTGATTAGGGACTTTCCGTTTTGAATTTTCCTCGGAGTTCAGTATTTTTGTGATTTAACTTTATGCTGAGCTGTGGATGCACATGCAGCATACACAAACCTTTGGTAAACCAATAGTCCCTCTCAATTTCATAGAGGCAAACTAAAATTCAATCAAAATCAGTTGATCTCTAGAACCTGCTGTGTAAGTGTATGCAGATGTGGATCCCAATGGTACTTCAACAGTCACCCTCAACTTTAATGACAGACACCAAAATATAAATTATTAAAAGTTGGCACTGCCAGAAACAAGTGTGTTACAATCCATAATGGCATACTCTTAGGTTATTATCCAAAACAATGCAACTAAGACAGTTTATTGTCCAATTTTTTTCTCTCTCAGGGATCTAGAATCAAAATTTTCTCTCTTAATCAATAGGCTTCTTCACCTTCCCATAATCTTCCATCCTTATAAGTTTTATTTCAAATAAAAATCCAAATACCATTTGTTTTGGACCCATACCACAGTGATGACTGTTTGTTCCCAAAATAATTTTTTGAGGAAGCATAAAAAGGAAATGAAAAAAGAAAAAAACACACAAACAAAATAATTAAGCACAAAAAATAAAACAAATAAAAGCAAATAAACATATATAAAACATCAACGGGATACTACTTTAATGTAGTTTTAAATAAAAAAACTGTTTACTTGAGACCAAAAGTTTTGAAACTAAAATGTACAATATTTTAGCAAACAAAATCCAAAATTGTAATAAAGAAAAAAGAAGAATATTATTGTACATCTTTATATTACAATCAATGAAAGCCTTGTACAAAATTAATGTTATTTAGCAAAAATACATGAGAAATTATTATTTTTCCTGCAAAAAATAGTCTTCTTTCATCAGTCCTTGAAAATAAAACAGAAAAAGAGTAATACAGAATATAAATATTATTCTACAACCTCTACCTAATGTTACAATATAACATAAAAGGCATAGAAATCAAATCACTAACTAAAATAGCAAATATGAAAGATAATTTCAGTTACAAGTAAAAACCCAAAAATAGATCCATATTAAAGTTTGGTTTTTTTTGGCATTGGTTGTTGACTCTAATACCTAATAAAAGTTTGAAACACGATTGGAGTGTTTCATTGTTTTTCTTTGAATCTTTTGCATGTTGGGATAAATATTTTTCTGAACTGATTTTTACATCGCGATGACCTTGGGGTCATTCAGATGTATTGCTATCGCCTAGATTTCCATTATGTAAATTAGTTTTGGGTTTGTAACCGATCTATAAACATGATAAATATGCGCACATAAACGAATGCAAAATAACATTCCTTATCGTTTGATATAAATACATCTCTTCAATGAATACTGATAAAAATATTTTTGTTTACAACATAAATTAATAATATGAAAATGTTTTGTAGTTCGATATATATATATATAAGTAAAAAATCATTGATAATATCAATGCAGACGTACCGAAAAATTGTGTTAAAGCATGCGGAAGAATATCTCAGAGAACTTTTTGCGAGGACCGGTAACTCTGTAATTGTTTTTGCGGGAAAATATGAATGCCTACTCGTATCCAATCTTAGAAAAATCGAATTTTTACAGAAAAGTGTCCACCATGTATACTGATTTGTATCACTACAATATAATAGTTATTATGGTGAAGTTGAATTTCCTGTCATTTATTCATCATCCACGCACGAACTTGTCTCAGAAAAAAATATATCTCTGTACATTAACCTCAGTTTCAGGTAAAGAGATATGTTGTTTTTTTCTGAGACAAGTGATTTTGACCATCCTCAAGAACTTGTGGTCATCCGATGTTCAGTACTTCAGTACTTTGATTTATGTTTATTTTTCTCAATATTGATATTCCACAGAATTGGATAACACAGGGAGAAGAGTTAGTATTCACAACACTAAATGTGAATAACTTATTTGTCAAAATGTTTCAACAACCCAGGTCACTTAACCAATGTAAATCAATTATGCCCTACGAAAACCCAACATAAAGTTCACACATCAAATATAACAGACAAGGTAATGGTAAATGGCAATTTTAATAAAATTTACTGAAAAACAAGTTTAATCCTGCCACATTTTAAACTCATCATGGGTTGTCTATAATTAAATCATAATATTTTTTTGTTATGACATTGATGGCAGATCATTACAGGTAATCAGTAATTCACAACAAGGCCATATGCATATTTCCTGTGATTAAGGGCTTAACATATGGTATTGATGATTACATATTGTTAAAAATCATATATTGAACTGAACATGCATTTTCTGGGTTTTTTGGTTTTTTTTTGTCCTGTTGAGTTGCTATATATCTCATTGGCATCTTTATTTATTTATAACTTTCTAAACTATCATATTTTATCACTGTTCAGGAATTTGAATGAGTAGTCACCATTTACTCTGTTTATTAAGCTTTTTATAGATACTC